TAAACGGTTTCGCTACCTAAACGTAGAATAATATCCCAAGATAGAGAATCTATTTAAATCAAAAAAATATATATATATTATATATATAATATATTATACATATGTATACATATATATATTATATATATAATATATTATACATACACACATATATATATATATATATACATATTATATACATTATTGCATAGTAAGTTTATGGTGATGACGTAAGACGTAAGTCGTACGTGGTACGATAGGAGAAGGAGAAACGTGTCTTTCCATGCGCGGGGCTTGGCCTGAAAAGCGGATCCATCGAGTTCGATTTTTTATCGCGCGAGGATCTCTGTGATAACCTTAACGACTACGCAAATGGATTAGATATTTCTCGATTAACCGTTCTAATATGATAATATTAGTCATTCATTATATAGTTCGACGAGTCGAACGAGTTTGTTGTGCGACGTATGTAAATGAAGTCTCAATGTCAAAATGTGTAAAGTAGTAGTGTAGAGAATTAATCTGGAGAAACGAGGTGAAACAAAGAATCTAGAGATTTAATTTAACTAACTCGTTTCCGTTTCGAAACGGATATCGAATTCTATACGTAAGAGATTAATGCTCGATGCAAGGATTAATTTGGTAAATTTTGAATCATTAGAGTCGATTATATATATATATATATATATGAAGAAAAAAAAAAGGCGATGGCGCGTGATTCTTCTCAAATAATTCGTTTACTCTCCAAGTAATTCGACTCGTCGAATAGGTTGCGCGTAGAAAAATATTATTTTGGAAAAATAATACGCGCGTGCGAAATCACACATTCCGTCTGTCATCGAGGACAATACGGAATATCTCGGATTCTTACCATAATTTTGCGCGTAAAACAACTTCGAACGAATTTCGAGATCTAAACGAATCTCGAGAGAATCCTCGATCAAGGACCAAAGATTCGACGAAGAAATTAATTTCGAACAAGATTCTAGTCAAGTCGAAACTCGATGATGATTCGTTCACCGGCCAACCGCTACTCAGCGAAGAAGCGTATCGATAAAACGTTCTATAGAAACGTTGAATCTCGTATTTATCCTCTAAAGAAAAGGCGTAAACTTTAGCCAAACTTTTTACTCTCTCTCTCTCTTTCTCTCTCTCTCTCTCTTTTTCTCTCTCTTTATACTCTCCTCTTCGTTATTACTCTCTTTCCCGCGTGCATTTTTCTCGCGACCTGTTTTTCCAAGGTCCTTAAATCTTTTTGCCTGATCTCTCGTCTTGGAAACGACTTAAATCTTAAATCTTACTATTAAATAATATAGAAGATAGATGTAGATCATCGACGACGATCGTGATTCCTAGATCGTTCAATTTTTTCGTCGATTTGTCGTCGATCGTCGCTCCTTCCACTATACTCGTCCGTACGTTTTTTCTGAATCCGAAATTACGAAATTACGAAGGTTTTCGGTCGAAATCGATTCCAATCCTCGCGAATCTTTCCCTTCTATTCGAACGTTGGAAAGAAATCGACGAGGCGAATTTCCAACGAACGACAAAAACTGCGTGAAAAAAAAAAGAAAAAAAAAACGTCTCGGCTTCCACGCGCTCGTTCTTGTTCTCGGCTCTTGGTCTCGAATCTTGGCATCTTGAACGCTTTGCCATCCGGCGCAAAATTACTTGCGCCGAATCCGCACGGTTTATTGAATTTTTCAAATTGGGCGCACCCTCTTCGCACCAGCGCCCCCTTCTTCCGTTTCTTCGCAAGCTTCTTTGCGAACTTTTCCGGGTATTCGATCAAGTTTCTTTAACGCGCGCTCGCGTGCCCCGCGAGTCCGACATTATGTGCCTCAAAACACGAACGGAACGTTACGGTTTCCGGGTCGAGTAGAACGTTATTGTTCTCCTCTGTCGTGTGCGTTTTCGTAATTCCGAATATTACTAGTCCCCGCAAAAAATACGCGGAAACGTGGACGTATATACTTTCGAATGAGATTGGTGATCGATCACAGAATACAAAGTTGATTAGCGTCACGACGATAGCAGATCTGGACTCTGAATATGGAATCTGAAATTTAGATATGCGATTCATAGATTCGAGAAGGGTAGTGAGTAATTTCGAAGTAACAGAGGTCATAGTTTCCTCTGTAGATCTGGATTGGAAAATTGTTTATCTTCGAAAGAGATTAAAAATTATCGTGGACGACATGATCTGCGTCATTTCGAATTTCATCATTTCGACGTTTATCATTTCGAGGAATATAATCGAAAATCTGCTGTTTCCGTTTGAAATAATCAAAGCCAAAGAGGTGAAATTATATTTTTAGAAAACGAAGCGTTTTAGCGTTTTACCAAAGATCAGACAAGGTACAGTGAGAAAGTTCGAAAAAAGAGATTCTTCTTTGCTTTCTTCAATCCGACGAAACGGAATGCGTCTTCCAAAAAAAAAAAAAAAAAATTAAATCGGGAAAATGATTATCGTTGCGACGAATAAAACGAGACCTGTGTCTAACGTGATTAAGAAAAAAAGAAAGGAAAGAAAGAAAGAAGGAAGGAAAGAAACAATTTGCTATATCTTTCGTTCGTCATTGAAATCTTTGCACGCATATTAAATACGAATATTAAAGCGTAATAGAAGCGCAAAGACTGATTAATAAACATCGTAGGAAGTGAGAGGTGTACATTTATAACGAACGTTTAACACGGTATATATAATCGTGTATCATATACACGCCCCTGTTTAAATGCGACGCAGTTTATAATGCGAAATAGCGTAGATCCGTTTCTGAATTTAAAATATATGATGATATAGGACCGTGTACAAAGGGGGATTCGAATGAAAAGAACGATTTTTAAATATGGTGCTGGGGAATGGATATCGTCGGTTATATATATCTCAAGGTATACTATCGATGAAAAATCTTTCCGGATAGGCAAGGATACACTTCCATTAACATTGCAACATTTGTGCCAATATATATATATAAACGAGGCTGATTACGCGATATTTTGATTTATCCGTCGATCCGCAGTGTCGGCGGATCACTCTGAGCGGAAATAGAATTATTTTTAAAAATAAACGTTACGCGTGCTATGTGCGATCAACACGTTTGGGACGATGTTACGTTCAACGATTACATTAGTTTAACGTGGTTCTTCGATCGTTAAGCGTGCCACTAATTTTAATAGATCATCGCGAATCGAGAAAAAAAATTAATAACATGATTATAGGGGGTTTAAGTTTTATGTTTGGATCGAATTTTTGACGATGAAAATTGCTGATCGAGCACATAGTCCCCGGACAGTTGCAATGTAAATAGAACCGAATTTAGTGAACTTCCATTCTGGACGTGTTAATCGCGCATGCGCGCGATACATGCGCAAATATCCAATATGTATAAGCCATGCCTGATACACGCAGTAATCACGTAGAACGATTCGTGTAAATAAAATTTATGCGTGCATACGATGAAAAGAAAAATCGAACTACTCAGAAGCCAAATTGATTCGACTCTTTTTCTTTCAAGAAAAAAAATTTTTAAACATTGGAATATAAAATTATTAGCGGTTATTAATGTTCAACGAAGTAGCTTTCCTCGATGATGAGGGTTGATCAATTTGGCTTTCATATGTGGCTGGAATATGATTTTTCGAGAGACAAGGGAGAGACAAGCGAGAATCAAGGAGAGACAGAAAATTGAAAGCTTAAATGCTATAAGCCCAAATAAAAGAATACCTCTTGCTTTTAAGGAGATCGATGAAGATAATAATTAGCATGTAAGCGTTCGATACACTTTTTTTTCTCTGTTTGTGGAGAGCTTTCAACCAATGCTGAGGATGATAGTGACGAGCAGAAGGTAAAAAGAAAAAAAAAAGAAAGAAAGAAAGAAAGAAAGAAAGAAAGAAAATATTATGAAGTAAAAAAAGAACAAATCGCATAATATTGTTCATTCACGTCACAAGTGCGAAGCATTACCTACACATATGTATAATACATAACGCTCAGGCGACTTCAGCGGGAATCGTATGTTGCGTATACAAATGTTACATATATACGATATATTCTTTATGGTTTATGATTTTTTGCGAATTTAAAAATATAATTACCATTGTGAGTGTATCACTGATAACCATTGTGTTAGCGAGGATACTCGACGAACAATAAAGAATTTAATTATTCAGCAACGATTTGCCCATCCCTCGAATCTTGTTACATTTTTGCTTTGCTTTCGCTTGAAAAAAAATTCTCATTTAGTGTTATACGAGTGTTAACATGGTGAAAATCAAACATCCGATTGTGTCGTCTCTGAATCATAATCATAAACTTTTTCATAATGTCTAATATTTTTTTTTTTTTTATTCAAACTACCGATCGAATGAAAATGGAAATAGAAACGGAAATTAAAGTGGAAATGGAAATGGAAATAGAAATGGAAATGGAAAAGAATCCAGATTTTACTGTTTCGGCGACGAGTAGGAGAAACCCTGTCTCTCGCAAACGAAATACAAATCTTGAATTCCATTCGTTTCTTTCTAGTGACACATTTTTCACTTTCTTTTTCAGGTCGTCTGAAATGCTACTGTGGGAGACGCTTCAAGCACCTGTTCTCATTGGTGTGCCATCAACGTGGCGAATGTGGCCAAGGATATCAGTGTAAAAACTGCAACTTTAAAACCAACAAACTTTATTTGTGGTCGCGTCATGTGAAATCATCAAATTGTAAACATTAAAGAGAAAAAGAATTATTCTTTTCATCGTTTTATCAAATTTTATTAGATTGTTAAGAAATATCGATTGTATTTTTCATAAATAACATTTGCGAAATTATCTCTCCAGAGATTTAATAAACATTTAATAGTATCATTTTATTCGCTTATAATTATAATCATTTTGTGAAAAAAAATATATATGCGTGTATTTATATAAGGGATATATGCGAGAACGATCTATGACACAAGAATCTAAATTTCAGAATAATACAAAAAAATTCAACGCTCTTAGAATCCCAAAAGTTTCGATTCGTGTTTAACTCGGATGGATTCAACAATAATCGAATAGAATCGGTTTAAAAGCCGAATCTTTCGATTATTACCGAGTTAATATTAATTTCTACCGTCGTCCATATTTAGTTGAAACTTTCGAGATCTCGCGTGAGTGTCGCGATCTCAGTCGATCTCACCCGACCTCGCCCGACTTCGCCCGACTTCGCCCGATCTCGCACGAATTTCTCCGATTAGTTCCGAGCTGATAATCTTCGGATCTCGCACATCTTGATTATTTACGTAGAAAGTTTATCGAAAGAAGAAAGAAGAATCAGTGTGTTTTAAATCCGACTTCTGACGAGCAACGAATGACGAATCTCGCGTACGGAGCGTGAAAAATAATTAACACAAGATGCATTTCTGATTTCAGATGACAAGGGCCTGTATTACGTGAAAGACGCGAGGCTTGGATTCCAGAACTTACCAAACCAGGCCTCGATTTATAACCAGAAGAAGCACGTATGTAATTGCGGCAAGGTGTACAGTCAAAAGAGTTCGCTCGATCGACATCTACGGTACGAATGCGGAAAGACGCCAAACGTGCCGTGCCCGCAATGCGGGAAAATGTTTAAACACAGGCATCACGTGACGCAGCATTTGGCGAGTTGCCGCCTCAAAGACATGAGAAACTCTGACTTTCTCAAGATGTTCCACGTCGATCTCGCTCCCCGTTGAAAATATGGGGATTTCTTATTTTTGTAATTTATTTATCGAGAAATATCCTCGTTACTATTTCACGAAATAAATCAGAAAATATGGATTTTTCCCATTCGATTCGTTTTTCAACGATCCTTCGAGTAACATTTATTCAAAAAGAAAACCAGAACTTTACGACAAATAGACAGTGTATTAGTACATTCTTTTTTTTTTTTACAAATACTCAGATTCACACTCGATATCATTCTCGAAACTAAATAATTATTTCAATTAACTGTTCCATTATCGTCTGCTTGCATAATTTTCCAGAATCAATGTGGCAACAACTGGCGCATAATCGACAACGATCGAGAACGCGTCAAGGGAAGGAAAACGCGAAGCAATGTAACGAAACGAGATTCTTCTGCGAATCTTGCGGGAAATCGTACAAGTGGAAGGAATCTCTGCTTAAGCACAAGCGCGTGGAATGCGGAAAATTGCCGCAGTTCAGTTGCGAGGTTTGCGGATACCGATTCATGCACAAGCATCATTTGGTCAAACATATGGCCGCGATTCATCGAATGTCTCCTCTGAGCGGAGCCGCCATCACGTCTTCCAGTAGCGGGAAATTTAAATGTCTCTATGAAAATTCTGTTGCCATGGAAACGATGTAATATTGCGAAATAAAGTTTTATGACGTCTCTAACATCACTTGTTGATTCGCTGATGCGATCTGTGTGTATTTTTAGAAAAAATAATCGAGCGTTTAAGAGCAGCATTTTTAACGCGAAATGATTCTATTAATTTTCTATTAATTTTCATTTCAGGTTTATTCTTCGTACAACACCGATATGGAACTCGACTATGATAAACTTTGTCAATTCTTTAATAAATTTGCTCGATAAAATTTGTTTCATACAAATATGAAATTTATTCTTTTATTGCATTTAAACGTTCGTTTAATTTTTACTTACTTATTGTTTCTTTGAAAAACAGGATTCCGTTGTTGAGAAGTAATCGATCGTCTTTACTTCTCTCTCTTCTATTACAGAACGCAACACTAAAGATAGAAAAAAATTCTTCTAGGAAGATCTCTCTGCTAAAGAAGATACGCATAGAAGAAGATTCATCCGTCATTCATCTGTTACGTCTGGAAGAAAAGCTTCAAATAGAAGTAGAATTTAATTAATAGTTCGGTTTACAATTATGAAAAAAAAAATACAAGGATCATTATAAATTATGTTCCCATTCTCTGAATTCATATAATTCATATCGTTTCTCAATCTTTTATATTTAATTTCTAAAATTTGTACGATTTGAATATGTTTCCGAATCTCCGATTAATAGAAATAGAAAATAAAGCTTTCTTAAGAACGTAAAAATCATCATAGATTCTACAAATATAACTTATTATATTTGCTTCACACCTGATCATCACCTAAATAATGCGCAGCTATCAATCTTTTTATACCTCACTTTTGATTAAAGTCCAATATTTCTTTTCAATATTCGAAACATATTTTTCCTCGTTTCTCGCATATTTTGCTTAAAAACTTATAAATATACATATACAGATATATATGAAAACTTTCACTTTCTATATAATATCAAAAGTACGTCTATCGATAAATTAACAAACACGATGAAAGAAAGAGAGAGAAAGAGAGAGAGAGAGAGAGAGAAAGAGACAGAGAGAGAGAGAGAGAAAGAGTACATGTATGAGAAATAGTGTATGAATGAGGGGGAGGAAATGGGCTATTTTTAAATAACACACTACGCATCATTGAAGATGAATTTTAAGGGTAAAAAGTGCTTTTAAATTTTTGCTTAAGACGAAGATTAGATCGAATAATTGAGATATTTCGACCTCTAAATTGCAGGTTCTTGCTCGAGAAACAGATATTCATCACCGAAACCGTTTCCGTGCGACAAGTGCGATAGGGCGTACAAGAACAAGAGCAGCCTGACACGCCACCAGATCGTCGAGTGTGGTAAACTGCCTCAGTTCATCTGCAGAACTTGCAACAAGGGATTCAAGCAAAAGGGCAACTTTCAACGGCACAACTCGAAGATACACGGCCATATTTTCCTTCTAGGATCGTGAACGACCCATTGCAAGAATGAACGAAAGAAAAACAAATCCCTCCCCCCTCCCTCCCCTCATCATCGCTCAAGAATCTATCCATCCTCCTGTCCACTCCAACTAGTTCTTCATCACTTTTTCACTTCAGAGAAGAAGAGAATAGAGAATTTTTTCCTGCGATACTCGTATCATCGTTACTTCTTACGCGTAATAGCTTCGTGCAACATTTA